CAACATTAAAATAACTTAAATTTTAAATTGATGTCTATCAATTGAATTTTCGATTAATTACGATAAAAATTTATTTTTAATTGAAATACAATTATAATTTTAGGGTATTTATGATAATAAATGGGCCATATTTGAATCAGTTAGTTCGAAAACACACCAACTCGGTAACTCGAAATTGCTCAATTTTCATAGGAGACGGTCAATTTTTATAAAAGTCATTGAAGTTAGCGCATCTGTTCCAACTTGGACCTTTAAAATGCCTTAAAATGCTGGTATTTCGGCACCAAAAATCTCTTTCTCAGACTAATTTCTTCATATACATGTTCGGTTTCGTGTGTCTTGATTCTTTTCATTTTTCCGAGTTGGTGTGTTTTCGTTCTCACTGATTCATTTATGATCCTCCCCCTCATGGACAGTATTTTCTTGCCAAATATCAGAGATTTTTACCTTGCATTTGAAAGAGAGCGCTTGGGCAACAATGTTTGCTCGGCGCAAATTAGTGACCTAACGAGAGCAGGTGGGGTGATTAATTACCACTGAGAAAAGAGCCACGAATCAATTGTGGGTATTATTTCAAAGGCTGTCTACCTAGCCTTACCCACACCTGATCGTCGGGTCTGACAAAAAAAGCTCAAGTTGGAAGCGTAATTTACTCCCCAGGTGTTTTCCTCTCATACAGAGCACCTTACTTTAAACCTTAAAATTCAGTGCCTCCAAAACCGAGTGTGGCTAGCATCGCATGATGCTCTCTCTTTATACCCCTCAAAAATTTACGGAATAGTTGTTTAAAAAAAGCTGATTAAAAGAGAAAAACGAACTTCAACAAAAGATGTATTCAGCATTCATCATCTGTGCTTTACTTTTTATGATTTTAGGAAAGTTCAAATAAGCGTGAAGGAGTCATACAGTTAAGTTTCCTAGTTACAGGTCTCGTAGGCGACTAGATAAGGTAGAAATTAAAGCGAAATGTTAATTCGGCTACATTTTGCCAAGAAGAACTACTATTTCTGGATTATCTGTAAAAGACCCATTTGCGAGAAAAAACAAATGACAATTATGCTGTCTCTAAAATTAGCCAGAAATAGTAGTGCCTTATCACAAAGAGCAGTCCCAAAGTATCCTCTCCAAAATATCACGCAAAAAGTTATGCACGCAATGGCAGATTTGTAAATAAACTTTTGATCTAGAAAAAAATATGCACGCTTAAAACTGAAAAACTGGATCACAAACCAAACAAATATCGACAGTGAAACTGCCAAACCACGTATCTCGTTTGCGGTGTTTAAAAATCTACGCTCGCATTTTATTTTTTTGAAGTAGACCGAATCAATATCATTCCTTGAAATTTTCACAGAATTTTCTCCGCACGAAGAGGAAAAATCACAGAAATTTTCAAGACTGGACGTTAAGTAGTTTTTCATTTAAAAAATAAAGTATGACAGGAAGTCTGCGACGTCGCAAACCGAGATACGTGGTTTGGTAGTTTCACCGTCGATATGTAACGTCGTTTGCATTTTTTTCAATTGACATACCATATTCTCTTTAGGAACTGATGTCCATACTCCTCAGCATAGAAATCAGTGTGTTGTACACAAACAATTTTGGAGAGAAAACATGTAACAGTGTGCTTCAGTTCGTGCCTTATTTAGTACCTCTTCTTCTCAAAGGTATTGTGCAACATTATCGCTTTATGAGTTCCTTTGTAAAGGAACTTTTTGACTGTCAAAGGAGACAAAACCAGTGGCGCTTAGGTTCAAAGACAGTACTAACCAGGTCGCGGTCGAGAAAAGAAGGGACACTAAATGGGCCCTTTGTAGCCCTTTCTCCCTGCTTTTACGTTCCTTGGTAATTGAAACATCACCTCCTTACAGACTCGTAAAAGCAGCTGAGCGCGTCCGTGCGTGGGCAAGAAATCTGGAGCGCCTTCAATTTTTATCACGCAACACGCGTGTCCATAGAACACGAATAGTTGCATTCAGGCGCTGTCATCAACTTCGCGCCACATGCTGTATAATATTATACAGTCACTTGGCGCATTTTGCTCTCCTTTTGTCTTTTAATGAAACGCGATGACATAGTTTTCTTTTTATATTTTTGCAGATTTTATTTGGAATGCTGCGTTCCCTAACACTATATTTACAGTAAGTTGGACCTGGACTCCACTTTGAGCGTTGCAAGAGCAACGATTCGTTTTCTCTGCATGAGGTGCACATTTGAAAATGAAATGAAACTATGAAACTTTAGCGTGAACTATTTCATACGGTTATGTTGACGATGAAACTCCCAAACCACGTATCTCAGTTTGCGACGTTGCAGACTTCCAGTCATTCTTTTTTTTTTTAAATGGAGAGCCACCCGATGTAAACTCTTAAAAACTGCCGTGATTTTTCTTCTCACCGCGCAGCGAATTCTGAAATAACCTCGATTCGATTGACCAAATTCGATCAGTCCACGGGTTTATCGATCGATTCACGGTTGTCGATTGATTCACGTTTTTATTTTTCGATGAGTTCATATGGATCGAATCCATTATTCTATGATTTTTGAAAACCGCAAACGAGATAAGTACTTAAGGAGTTTCACCGTGGATGTGCCTTTCAGACATAGAGAAAAAAAGGAGGTGTTTGCATTTCGGGCATCTTGGATGACGTAGGTCGGTACAACGAGCTTATCATCGATTTTCTTGAAAATGGTGTAATATATGGAAAAAAATCATTCTACAAAAAGTGCTTGAAACTATATCATGAGTTGATTTAAGCAAAAAATCGGACATTATGGTCCGTTTTTCATCCTTCCGGATTTCGCTGGCCAGGTTGTACCGACCTACGTCACAGGGTAAGCAAACCTCAAGATGCAAATACCTCCTTTTTTTCTCTATGCCTTTGAGATACTCTAAAAAGGCAATAGGATTGGCAGGGCGTGGCGTGGCGCGGTGAGACGGGGTAAGTTGGGTGGATGGTCGTTTTTAAGAGATTGTGTACCAGTTAAGAATAAGAGTTCCAGCCCTGCGACGGTGGGTAAGGGTACTTGTCGTCCGGATGTCCGGTCGGTGGGGGGAATTTCTCGTGGTACTCCACGCTCGCCGGGGGGTGCGGCAAGTGCACCTCCATCTTATGCTTCTGCGCCAGGTACTTCTTCACCGCTAGGATGAACTGTCCGAACTGAAACAATCGTTGTAAACATGTCGATACGTTAACAGGAGGGCTTCCGCTTGGATCCGGCTTCCGTACTTACAACCTCGGCGGGGTTCCATCGCTGGGTTTCCGTAAACTCGTCGACGAGTGGAGATGGAGAGGAGGAAAAACATGATTAACGAGAATTTACATGAGTAACAATGGCGTGGCGTGCTCTGCGATGTATTTGTCGCAGGCAAATAGTCAAAACAGGCATTTTGTCAAATGCCTACGCAAGTAGTCAAATATTCTAACTTAGATTGAAATTCTAATTATTTTCGTAATTTCAGACAAAATAATTCATTGCTCCTGAAAAAAAAATTCTCAGTAAAAATTTGCACACACAATAGTATTTTAAACAATTTATAGTTCTTGAAGAGACACTGATCTTGAAATTTTCAGGATGTTGTAAAAAATAGAATTTTTGGAATTTCAAAATTTAAAAATATGAGAAGTGATTGAAGAGGAAGAGACAAAACGAGTTCGTAGGTTTGATGAGATGTATTTCCAAAAATAGTGAAAAATCTTAAGTTCTTTGCCATAAATTCACAAAATTTTGTAGACGGTCAAAATTTGACTATCTGCCTAGGCATTTGACAAAATTCCTGATTTCACTATACTATTCGCCTGCGACATTTCGATTGATCTGCCATTTAAACCTAATGGAAGGGATTGATAAACAGGGTGTTCGCAACGAGCACCCATAGTAATCAATCCTTCATCATAGCTGCAAATGGCGAAATATCGATACCTAGTCGATCATTCCTGCCTCGCCACTGTAAATGAGTGCCATAAAAATTAGCTATTTGCTACCTGTGATAACGATACATTGAAAGAGAGTAGGGATAGAGGGATGAAGAGGTGAAAATCGAGAAGCTCTGACCGCACTTCTTGTGCATAACTTGTAAAAAAAAAAAAATTTAAAACGAGTAAATTTTACAAAGGGAGGGAATTTTTTTTTAAAGGTGGGAGTAAAAAAACCAGTGGAGAAGTCGTAAATAGTCTAAGTTCAAGAGACAAAAATAAGGGATGTCGCAATAGTGTATTTTTCATCAGAAAATACACTAAAAATTGGGATAGTGAACTGGATTTGTACTTCTTTTTCTTGTAAGAAACATTACACGGTGTTTTCTTTTCGTCTATTTTACTGGAAATTTTTATGATTTTTTTTTTACATTTTTCCATTCCATTTTTCCATTTTTTTTCTTTTTTCTTTTTTTGTAATATTTACGCTGTCTGCCACCAGAGATGTGAAAATTAAGGGTTCGGCCTTTTATGTATCTCTGACTTTCAAACGCTTTTCAGGGACAATGATTGGATTATCTTTGAAATAAACCTCGGACAGCAAATGAAGAAAACATGAATGGATAAAAAAACATAGCCGAAATATGAAAGAAATTATAAGCATTAAAGACTGGAAAGAATAAAGCAAATGCAAAAACTGCATCCGCAAAATGACCTAAATTAAACAGCAATTGAGGAGTGGTAACCTCAAGGAAAGCGAATATTTTACTCACAATTGTACATAGATGACATGCAATGCACGGTATTCTCAAAATTTTATCAATACATTTTCAAATCCTTCATGTTGTTTGATTTCTAGAATGCCTGCTCGCGATTGAACTGTACCTAATTTTTCTGATTTTTTGTAAAAAGTAATTTTAAAGGATATCTAAAACTATGACAAAAAAAAAAAAATGTTGAAATTGCAAACACGAAGGACTCAATCTTTTCAGAAATGAGTCATTGTAAAGTAAGGACGCAACCAATCATCAATTGAACTTACAGGTTTAGAACAGATTCTCTTAAAACTTAAACCTTGCTTACCTGGATCATGACACTGACTAGAGAAATGACAACACTCTTGAATTGCAGAACTTGTCCTATTGCCATCATGACCATCTGAATTACCGACTTAATATACATCAAACCCAGGTACATCATCTGCATTTTTTTGTCACCTTTTTTACCCCGTCCTAAAGAAACAGTAAAAATAGACATGAATTTCAGGAAAAATATACTTAGGTTCAAATTAACTTTATGGCAGATGACCTTTGAAGCTACGTTTTATCACATTTTATATTTGTCCCGAGATAAAAAATTGCTGCTGCTCCACGAAAAATGGAGGCTCGTCTTTACAATGAAGACATTCGTTAACAACTCCCCCCCCCTCCCCGTAGACTCGCACCACTACTCTTGACAGCTCAAGGACAGTCTTTTAAGGGTTTATCTTGATTTTCACCCTTCGATCCAATTATACAGAGCAACGGAGAATATGCGAGACAAATTTTCATTCCCCTGGTAAAAATTGGCGATAGGAGCTGCATTTCAAAATACCATAGGAGTTCCTATAGCCGACTGAAGAGGGCGATAGAAAATCATATAGCTGGCTGTAGAAAGTGGAAAAAACCATACGGCCGGGCCACACGAAGCGATAAAAAATTATACAGCCGGGCTATAGTTCCTATCGCCGAGCTTTACACTTAATCGCCTGGCTGTTGCTTTTTCGCCATCGGCTTTAAAAGGCTATAAGAAATTGAGTGGAAATTCTTGTGCTTTGTAAATCCTTAAGTTTGTACGGAATCACCCTAATATTTACAAATGGCACATTATACTTACTAACTACATATTTTTTTTCATCAATTAAAATGAGAATAATTCATACAGAGTGTGCAAACATTTCAAAGTCATGAGTTGAAAAACACTGACTCCGCGAGAATAAATATTGGAGCCTAACACAAAGCGGAGCGGCGGCGCACTGGCGCCTACAAACCTAACAGGGATACTTCACGCATTGCGCAACGCGTGAAGTATCCCTGTTAGGTTTGTAGGCGCCAATGCGCGTTCAGCGCCGGCTGCCCGCCCGCCGCGCCGCGCCGCAACGTACCGCGGCGCTTGAAGCAACAATTTCACACCAGAGGTATTGCACAGTATCATACGAAATTGAAGGCGCTCTAATATATTAGGAATGTCAGGCATCCTTCAGAAGAACGGAGCTTTCCTCGCAAGTTAAATCAAGATACCGCGGCCCAAAAAGAGAGCGGTCGTCCAAAAACTCACTAAGTCCTAGCATCCGTAATTAGTAAGTGACGTTTAGCATACACTTTATCGCCAGGCTGTTGCTTAGTCGCCATCGGCTATGAAAGGCTATAAGAAATTGTGTTGGGCTATAGAAGCTATTGGAAATCTTACAGCCGGCTGTAGGTCTATGGTATTTTGGAACACAGATTCTACCGCCAATTTTTACTAGGGTCGGTCAATTTGTGAGGTTGATATTCTGAGTTCGCAGTATTTTCATATTTTTTTTTTTTTTTTTTTTTTACACATAGAATTGCAGAAAAACGGATTTAATGTTGAGAACATGTACCGCTTCAAGACGTCATCAGGCGGTATTTCCCATTTAAACACACTAATTTAGCAGATTGTTTCATTTAGTCATTTAGTCATTCTGTCTACAATAGGTTACAAGGCATAGGTTCTACAAAAGGCTCAAGGATATACTTGCTCTCTCAATTGACCCTGTCGTTTCTATTTTACCATGAAATTTCATCCGATTTCAGACACATGCGCAAGGTTTCCGTTGTTTTATTTGAAATTATTTTTGCACATACTACGGATCAAAAGGACGGTATCCGCCGACGAACGCATTTTTGCTTGCAAAGCGGATGACTGACTATGACTCATGTCGGATCATCCATAAATTTAATCACGTGCATGTAAAGGAGCAATTTTGCAAAACTAATCATGAACTTCATTCATGAGACGGGACTGAGTAAAAATCGCTTTTAATTGTCTCCGATGGATGATTTTTTCCGTACGACGAGTGAGCAAATCCCTTCTTTGTAATCCCTTTCGCTCAATACTGCCCATCTCAGCATAGGTTTGAACTTTACGGTGCCCTATAGACTGAAAAGAAACTTTGAGCCATGGGTCTGCAAGGCTGTATTATTTCACCTTTGAAGTAGCTATGTTATTATACAGGAGAGGGCCTGACCCCCCTGTCACCGAAGGTCGGGGGGCTGTACATACATGGTATACCCCCTCCCCGTCCAAAAGGGGGTAAAGAGAGCCTTCTCCGTAAAGTTTTCGAAATTTTTACTTTATTTTGACACATTTTGCAGCTTTCGTGAAGCAGATTTTCCGATGATTTCTGCGCATAAAATAGGGTATACTCGTCGTTTCCTTCACGGAAGAAGGTAACTACGTTTCAAAGTGGCCAGATTTACCCTTGAAAATTGTATTTTCACCGAGAAAATCTTGGGTATTTCTAACTGAAATTTTCGCTGATTTTTCTCTTGATCTCATGCAAAAATCAGAAAATCGTTCGACAAGAATTGCACAGATTTATTCCTGTAAAAAAACATAATGTTTGCGATAATTTTGCAACCTTGGAATGGAGTTACGTTCCCTCGTCTGGAAAACGGCGTATTAAGTATTTTCAGCTCGAAATACTTCCAGATCGTTACAAAGAGTTGGATTGCATTTTGCGAAAAGGAACCAAGAGCATGCCAATGTCGCTAAGATTGTGCAACTGGTTCACCTTGCAAATATAATCTGATCATTAAAACAAGATTCATCTTTACTGTCAATGAACTATATATTCATGACGAATATCACCTTTGAAAATTCAATTTTTTGCGTGATTTCAGTAATTGTATTGCAAAGGATGTCAATTGCACAATCCTAGCAACGTTGGAATGCTCTTGGTTCCTCTTGGTAAAATGCAATCGAGTTACACCATGACAAAGAATCATTGTTGATGAAGATTTTTTCCAACCATTTACAGAATTTCTGGGGTGAGGGACCAGATGATACTATTTTCAATTCTAGTAAGCCATCTAGCTACGCCCATGTACTCGTATTTTACTTAAATTCTTCCCTTTTACGGTTTCCTAATTGGACGTATTTCTGCCAAACGGAGCTAAGCGCCAATTTGAGTTCCTTTTGAGGAATGTAGAATCCCGGATAGCGCGTTCTGTCAAACGGAACTAAGCGCCATGGAAAAGCGTTGCGAGTATAGGAACGAATGAGCCCGACGCCCGGTTCCGCCGCCAATCCAAGCCCCCCTCTACCTTCCTCCTCCGATGGTGCTTAGTTCCATTTGACAGAAATACGTCCAACTAACCTGTGTCAAGTCTGGATTGAATCATACCTTTTCTAGTAGACGTAATTTTCGAGGGTTTCCTCATCTCCTTGTTGCCCATCTTCATCATATCCGTGTGTGGGTGAGGGTGTGTGTGAGCGGCGTGCGCATGCGCGGCCATCATATCCTTCTTGTCGGCGTCGTACTTCTGCTTCATGATGAGGTTGAAGTAGGCTTGCTCCGGGGTCTGCTCCATGGAGGACGACATGTGAGAGGTCTCCGCCCCCGAGCTCATACTTCCTCCGCCGCTACTTCCACTTCCCCCCTTCTCGTCCCCAAACGACCCGCGGGTAGCTTGAAGCAGGGACAGCAGCAACAGGGACCAACGCGGCTCCAGGCGACTTCGCTTCCACGACATTTTGACGGCGATTTCAAAGAAAAGAGGAAGTGGCGCACCCAAGCTTGAACCCTACGAACAGAGAAGTTTCGGCGGGTGTTGTTGAACTCAAGGTGGTGGTGTGGCGCGCTTTGTGATACATTGATTGACTTGCCCTTTAAATCTATGGGAAAGGATCGGTAAATAGGATGATCGCAACGAAAACCGTAATAATCGACTCTTTACCACAGCTTCAAATGGGGAAATATCGATTAATCGATCCACGTCTCGCCATTGGATCACACTGTGTAGAGAGAGTATTGTACTCTGATTGGTTCACCAGTTTAAGGCCTTTCATGGAACTCTGAGGGTACAATAAAAATTAATCCGATCTTCAGAAATTTGTGTTTTTTTGAGACCAATGAACAATACCTGCAGGTCAAGTGTAATGCTTAACAAAATTTGACGTATTTCTGCCAAACGGAACTATGTGCATTGCGACATGAGCCCTGAGACCCATAAGGATATATACATAACGAGGCGCACGTCATGATGCACATAGCTCCGTTTGGCAGAAATACGTCCAATTAAAGTATGCTTAGAACTTATTTCAGAAGTTGGAAATTAAAATTTTCAACAGGGCTAGAACCCTGGCGCCATCTTCATTTATTTAAATAAAGCTGGGCCCTGAGAACTTTATCAAGGCCTAAAGCTTACAGGACAATCATAAAACCCTTTCAAAAAAAGTATGCGTGATAAACTATAAACTAAAATTTTGAAATCTAGGCAACTAAGCTCCGTATTGTTCCAGTCTTAAAAGCAGATTCGCGAAAATAGATTAGAATCGCAATTAGCGAAAATTGAGTTTTGGACGGAACAATCTGTAAGATCGTTGGCTCTTGATTGAAGATGCAATGAGGAGTGATTTCCGGATAGCAGTGCAACCAGTGGCTCACAGTGGATCGAATCAATCAAAAAGGCCGGACATGAATTTTTTTTATTAAAACCGCAAATTTTAATGTTTAATTCATCAAATTTTATATTTTAGGGTATACTTCTAAAACAAGATTTCACGAGGAAACCAATGAAACCTCTTTTAGAACCTCAAAGTTTTATATAAACGGAGTTATAAGCTTATAAAGTTTCCAAACTTTGTCCGACCACTTCCGTTGAATCGACCCACTGTGCGGCGCGGCGACTGCAGCTGGAAAATCATACTGATTAATTACAGCGATAGATCATAGCTGACCCGGGGGAGGAAGGAAGGAGGAGTCAAACTGGGTATAATGCTGGACGATCTGAGCTCGATCACGGTGAAAATCTGATCGCAACTTACTTGGTCTCAGCAAGATTACGATTGTCAGATCGACCGGCACTGTAGGGTTTTCATTTCAGTAATCAGAATTTCAGATGAGATGCATCAAATAACGAAAGAAGGAGAGTAAAAACGGCAAAAGTAGAGGAAGATGAATCAGGAGAAAAAGCAGATGAAGATGCGGGGCCGAACGTGATGCTGAAAATTGGATTTTTGATCCTCGCCTCTCCCCCTCCTAGCGCACCCTAACAAAGGTGCCTATAAGGTATAACATACCTACTAAAATCTTACGTAAAGTTCAGTTAGACTCGTCTCATCCCCTTCAAGTTTGTGTTTTGCGATTATGTATGGATAGAAACTCACCATCTTACGTTGATTTTTCAATTTTTCAACTTATATATTTTCGAAAAATCGGTGCTGTTTGCCCATTTTAGGGTTCAGTAACGTAGCCTTGGACGTTCCTCTATCTGTAAAGAACTCGTAACGCAGGCTGGGACCACCTTCTTCACCTACAGCGTTACGTATTTTATGAACGGCCCTTGAAAAAGAGTTAAAAAGGAGAGGATGAGGAGGGAGAAGGGGAAGAAGATGAGAAAGAAAAAAATAGAGAAAGAAAAGGAAATGAAAGAAAGGAGGAGTGAGGAGAATAGGAAGAATTTTTTCCTCACTCTCTTTATTTTTGTCCTCTCCTTTTTTTCTCCGTCTTTCCTTCTCAGTCAAAATGGTTCTGTGGGGGCTAATGAGATTTCAATGGGTCCCTACGGTTTCATGAGGATCCATTGGAACCCACATGAGATGGGAAAGAACACCTGTGGGTCCCTGTGCGGTGAGTGGAGAGATCTACAGGAACCCATGGGGTAGCCAGAGTGGCCCACGGAAATCCTCAGAAACCTTGGTTCTTGATCGTCTATCCCCATTAGAACCACGACCAAACCCCGATGGATTCCCACGGGAACCCAAGCAATATTCCCATGGGTTTGTTTGGACAGATTTTTTCTTCAAAATCCTCTCCTCTGGGTCTACAAGGGTCTAGTAGGGCCTCTCTCTGCGGAGTTACTTAGTATGAGCTCATTGAGGTGAGACCCAGTAGACTGAGGCGAATTGGTACAATACCAATGATTACAATAGACGACATGTCTAACGTAACCCAGTACTGTATGCCAAATGGAGAATTTGCATGCAAATTTTTCATTGCTCCATCTGAAAGTGGTTAAAGAGCTGATTTCACAGTATTTTTTGTAATTTGTTTCTGATATGGAAAACAGTATAAAAATAGATTTAAAATTAAGAAAATGCACCGCCTAGTGACGTCATCTGACGGCATTTCCCATTTAACACACGTATTTTGGCAGATTAGACCATTCTGTCATATCTTCTCCAATAACTGTTCAATTCATGAACCAAGGGTATCCCCGTGTTCAGTTCACTGAGTACACTGGAAAAAAAACACATTGGATCTAGATTCCAGACTCTTGAAAACATTGACAAGAAAAAGTACTCTTGATTCAATCGGATTTTTGCTCGAGTCAAAACAAAATCCGCTTAAATTAAGAGGCTTGGTTCTTGATTTAAGCTAGATTCTGATTGAATCAAGAGTACTTTTTCTTGTCGATGTTTTTAAGAGTTTGGACTCTAGATCCAATGTGTTTTTTTTCCAGTGTAGTTTCCACTTAAACACGAAATTCATCAAATTTCAGACACCTGCAAATTCTCTATTCATGCAAATCAAACATTCCGATTCACGCATCTCCGACGACACGTCCGACGACTCCGTCGTGGATAGACCAGCCGCTAAGTCGGAGGAATTAAAGGAGGCCGGATGGCGGAAAGCGCCGAGCCGCCATGTATGACTGAAATAATTGGGGCTTTTAATTAGATGCCGGGATCCCGTTGTGCACGCATGTGCGAGATCGACCATTGCCGGCCCCGGCCCCGGCGTGCGTTACGCGCTACGCAAGAGTGACGGCGCGCGGCGCCGCGCGGCGGACAAACGCCCGACGACCGACGACGCTCATCGGAAATCGAATCAACGGACACCGCGACGCGATGAGATGCGTCAAGTGACCCACACTCCCGTGCTAAGGAAAAATGCCGCATGAGCATTCGAATGTTGCCGAAGTGCCGCTCAGGAAGAACTTTATGAAGGTAGTTCCTCGAAATTTTCAGACACTATACTGCCGTGCTAAGGAAAAACGCCGTATGAACCCTCAGGCGTTGCCAAATTTCCTTTGATAAAACACAAATTTCCTGGTAAACTTATGAAAGTGCTTCTTTCAATTTTTCAGATAATTTTGATCGCAATTTCATCTAAAGTTTATGAAAATATTAAGGAAAAATATTCGTAACTTTCCTCAAAAATAAGCATTTTATCTTAGAAGATTTGGCATCCCTCGAATGTTCATACGGCGTTTTTCCTTAACACGGCAGTATAGATTAAATTGCGAACGAGATTCTCCGAAAAATTTGAAGACAATTTTAAAGAAAAAAAAGAAAATGTATTCCCGTAGATACACTGGTAAGTTCCGTGAAAATGTGCTGTCACTACCAGGATCCGAACCCGGGACCTATATTGACCTAGAGCCTAACGTGCTGACCACCTGGTCAACCCGGCCGGGATATTAAAAAACTACCGAGTTTTAAGAGTAATTCAACACTTATTCGAACAATTCAAGTGTTAAAATACAAGCCGTAGTAAATCTCTTTAGAATTTTTAACAAGTCTTTTCTAAAATTCAACGTTTTGACAAACTAGTTGCTCGAGAGGGAAAACTTTTCTCTCGAAAACAACCACTCAATGCAGAGGAGAGAAAAGTTTTCTCGCCTGGGCAACTAGTTTGTGCTTAGGATGTTTTAGGATACTTGAGACCTACATTATAAGAACTAGCAAGATCATGCATGGATTCATGTCTACAATTCCTTTTCCCTCGGAAATAGGAAATTATAAGGTAAGATGAGATTAGACGAAATCTAGTGAATTTAATGAAATCTTCTGCCTGCTCGGCAACAGCGGAAAACTCATCAAAGCCGTACATTCATGTGCGTGCGCGCCTGGCGCTACAGTAATAATTATAGCAATCCAGATGTATATGGTGTATGATGTGCCGAACGAAGAAAATTCCCGTCTGTCTCGAGAAATCTTGCATGAGGATGTCACTTCGGATGAGGGCAGGGGGACAAAAACCACCTGAGGTTCAGTCGGTACCCGCAATCGATTCGCGAATCGGGGTCAAGTATGAATTTTCCTTTTCAGCACCCCCCCTCCCATTTCATCTGGATTTGGAATCGTCACCCAACAACAAATCCAGGTTCAATATGTAATATTATAGGAACACTTATTGAAGCCAAAAGTATCTATTACCAACGTAGGGTAAGGCTAAATAGTTGTTGCTCCAAATCAAAGGGCACTTTGGTGTAAAATTCTCATCCTAGAGTTGGAGGATTGCAAAATGTAATTCAACTGAAAGCAAACTAACGATTAAGTTGGGAGGGAGAAGGCTGGAGCAAATAACTGGGAAATGGTATGCTTTGCAAATAGGATTAAATTGCAAAGAAGGTGTTATTGCCAGAGGAAAATAAGTTCAATTTGTGGAAAGGAGTTGGGTGATATCTAAGGGAGTTAAACGAGAAGTGATATTTGGAATGAGATTTTCCTAGAAGAAGTTACACAGCTTAAATAAGAGTATTGAAAAAAGAGACGCTACTGCTGAGACGAAAGGATATTGGATTTTCTTCTCATTTCCTTACAGGAATTTTAAGCATAAACTTTTGAGTTTCGTTTTTATGCCGCTCTGTTAAGTTTAAGTTCCGTTTAATATCCGGTCCAAATAGCACAAATATTCACTAATTGTTGGGTTCTTTTATCGGGATTTTGGACATGAAATTTCTACTGTAACTTACCTTTCGAAAATGAAGCCTATGCTTTTGGAACCATGACACTCAAGAAATTTTATTCCTATGACCAGTTGAACACGTCTTGGAATACAGCAAGCAATCTGAAATTATAAAACAACAGATCAGTCATTCAGTCAATGATGAATTCATTATCATTTAGAGCTGTTTAGTAGGTCTAGATATTTGTTTGTTTCTCCGTTTAAAAACATACATAGTATGACAGGAAGTCCGCAACATTGCAAAATGAGATACGTGCGGTTTGGGAATTTCACCATCGATAAGTTTTGACCATTTTGACCATATCTGCACCAATGAGGGGGAGGGGAGGGTAGGGCCGGATTTAAGGGGTTGGCCACATGGGCCGCGGCCCATGGCGGCAAATTTAGGGGGCGGCAAAAGTTGTAATTTGTTCAAATGTAGGTATCAAGAAAAAAATCTAATTCAGAAAAAAATTGCAAACTAGAAAAGGCGAAAAAATCTCTCATTTCCTGAGATTTAAAGTATAGTACTTTCTAATTTGTTCGTCTTTCGGCGATACAAGAGACAGCGCCTTTGCGCCTAGTTGAGAGAGAAACCAAACACGCAATTTGGCCTGGAGCGGCGCGGCGCAGAGAGCAAGAATGACGAGGACTTGAGATGGAAAGGAGAGGCCCTCGGCGCCCCGGTCAGCATGGAACACATATTAGCGCCTACAAGATTCCATGAATACTTCACGCATTGCGTCAAACGTAGTGCGGTCAGCAGCGGTTGGCGTGAAACTCATAGTGCCTACAAGACTGCATGAATACTTCACGCATTGCGTCAAAAACAGTGCGATCAGCAGCGGTCGGCGTGAAACGCATAGCTCCTACAAGACTGTAGGAATACTTCACACATTGCGCCAAACAGTGCGGTTGGTGCGATGGCGGAAATTAAAGCACATTCATGTTTATTCTTTCATAATTTTTTCATTCTTTTCTTATAAATGAAAGGCCTCGTACACACAGGGATAGGTTTACGGAACTTAATTTTTGCGCAAAGTTCCATGCACTTTTGTTAGTGTTGACAGAGCTTCCACAAAAAATGTGCCCAATACGAGTAAACGCGTCTATGTACCCCTCCTCTTCCGGTACATTCACTCTATGGTTTGTATCGATGTTTCAAAACGAATGAGAAGGGGCGGCAAAATACAGGCGGCCCATATGGGCGGCAAGATGGTAAATCCGGCCCTGGGGGAGGGTGAAGTTCCGCATTATAAGTAAGCAATTTTATGTCCTGAAAAGGGCGTATTAAGATGTTTAAAATATTTTCCTCGAAAATGGGTTTCTTTTTTAAATGTCAAACTTTAAACCACCATCCCAAATACCAGTAATCGCGATTTGATCGGAGAACGTATTACGATTTTATCGACGTTATGAAAAACGTCATGGAAGTGCTGTCGGATATAAAATTGTGATGAATTGCGATTTCATCACTCGAATTTGCAATAGAATCGCAATTTTATTGACGGCGATTTATCGCAATATTTTCGAACAAAAATCGGGGATAAATTAAGGTAAAATTCAGATTCTATCGAACGTGATTCTTTAGAGATAACATTGCGACAGAATTTAGGATAATTGCTCAGATTTTGATGATCCTAGCGATTTCATCGCCAAAAAATCGTACAAAAGTCGCAAATTAATCTGAAAATATCGCGATTTTTCCGTTGAAAAATGCTAATTGGGATAACTTCGATGTATTTACCTTTCGATTTGGCGTTTTTCCTTGTGTTAAATTTAGAATAAAATTTGCGGGCGTTCCCAAAATGCGCCTTTTGTTCGTGGAACACGTCTCTGCTTGTCCGCGCCCGGTGTCAATGGCTCAATTTTGAGCTTTCACGGGCCGATGTTATTTTTTTGGGTGGACTTTCACATATTGATCACGAGCTGTTATGGAGCATTTCGTCGCTTGGCTGACATAAGGGCGTAACCACACATCGAGATGAGCCCGGAAAAGCATTGAAACGTATGGAGGACAGGGTTCATTGCATAGTGCAGTTACGCCCTTATGTCAGGTAGGCGACGATTTATCATATTTAAAGTTGGCCCGTCGAGAAGTTATAGAAGAATGTAACCTCCACAAAATCCTACGACACAGAGACAACCTGGGGCTGGGGTCAAGTTCGAGAGCCTTTTTTAAGCTCATGCTCCACATCAGTCAATACTCGAGATTTTTCCCGCCAATCGCCCCCGTCATGTAATTACCGGCTTATTTAAGAAAATGGACTCGCACCATTTATCATCGGGGTTTTCTTCACCCCCATGCAGATTCTCATGCTGACACCTTCCTCCCTCAAGTTGCCGAGGAGGGGGGGGGGCAGAGTCGTCCCTTCCAGGGGGTGGCGTACCGGCTGAACCGCGAGCTTTTCAATCATCTTTTTTGTTGCGCCGAGCGTGGCGGACCTTCCTCGACACGGGTCTAATCTATTAAAGCTTTTTCTCCGCCCCCCCTTCCCCCTCTCCGGATGCGGAAACATATTTATTTCCGTCAATTACCTCGCTCTGCTGTGTTCCGGAACATTTTTGTCTCTTGAGGTGGATCGGCCTTGAGGTTGAGTGGAAGGGATGATTCTGGTAGATAGCGCCACCTCCTTATTGATGGCTGAAGTCTAAAAATCATTGCAGTGCGCGGCGGTTACGATCTCAATTATGTTTTAATTTCTTTTAAAGAACCGAAATATCGCCCTAAAATCAAAACTTGGAATATTTCTGGACGACGAAAAATAATCACAATAAATTTCGAGAAAAATTGTCGGTTGGTCTTTTTTACCAAGCAGAAAAAAAATTGAATTTTGCAGCGTCTCAGTTGAACGTCGTCATCGCTAAGACAGACATCGTCTATGGTTCCATTTACTAGAAATACGTCCAATCACTTTCGCGTGTCGCTCAATAACGTAGAATGACTGAAGAATCGCGCTATTTATAACTAACTACGCAGCGGGAAATGAGGGTGTTAATGCGAGCGACCAAGAATCGCCGCTGAAAATTGTTGTTACGGGTCCTGGATCGTGCCTGGCAGGTAGGATCTGTCTAAGGATTTTTGTCGCCGGCGCGACGGTTTATTTCATATTTACGCATAGCTGTATGAATGCATTTATACACGCGATGCGTTTTCATCTTGCAGCTGTGCACCTGCTTTGTTGAATTTTTGGTGCGAAACGGTGCCGCGGCATGCAACGGATTGGTGACCAAAAAATGGGTCGCGTCATCCAAAGGAAAGCCGAGGTATTGAGGCAACTTAAGCCGCTGAGCGACACGCGACAGAAATTGCGTGAAAAAATAGGCTCGAAACGTCCTCATTTCTTTTCAGGTAAATGAAAGAATATCAGGTTTTCTTTTGTATAATCTTGTCGAATTTGCGCCTCTGAATAAGATCGGCTTTATCAAATGCTCAGTTTAAAATTACCGTATTGAAGATGAAGGTTGATGGAAAATTGCTCCGCACTGTGTTAGGCGCAATACATGAAGTATTCCTGCACTCTTGTAGGCGCATCACATTTCGACGGTGTGAGTCGGCAATCACAGAACTCAGTTTGCGACATCGCAGACTTCCTATCATACTTTATTTCTTAAACGGAAAACTACTCAACGGCAATTCTTTAAAACTGCCGTGATTTATCTTCACCATGCGAAGACAATTATTCTGCAAAAACTTCAAGAAATGATGTCAATTTGCTCTCCTTTAAAAAAATAACAAAGCGGCGGAGATTCGTAGACATCGCAAACGAGATGTGTGATTGCGGACTTACGCCGCACAGTGGATCGAGTCAATTAGAGAGGTCAGACATGAAATTTTTTACTAAAACTGCAAATTTTTATGTTTATTTCGTCCCATTCTAAATTTCAAGGGGTGGTTTAAAAAGAAAATTTTTAGAGGAAACCAATGGAACCACTTTTAGAGCCTCAAATTTTTGTATAATCGGTGTTACAAGCGTTTAAAGTTTCCAAATTTTGTCCCACCTCTTCTGTTGACTTGATCCACTGTTCGCCGCCGACATGCTTTACCATAGGACACGGGGATCCCCTCAAAAGCTCGATGATAAAAATGCGAGGATAGCTCTAAAATAAGTCCCGTTTCCGAGTGGGAGGGTAGCACGTTTTGATGAGCTGGAGCGACTGGGAGNGGGGGGGGGGGGGGAGGATGTGACGTGCTACGGAACCGTTAATGACCTTCAGTAATATTCGTCCTAAAAAAACGATCACGTAGGTGGGAGTCGGACCTGCGAATGAATGAATCAATATTGGAGAGTGAAATTGTCACACGTAATTAATAAAATAGCTCGCAGGTGGATAGCGGGGACATGAGGGGAGTGGAGCGTGGTATGTGTGCTGATGGAGGACATCAAACAGTCGAAGGGGAGACGACTCCACCACAAATGCTGAGTACCGTTGGATGTCATCAAACGCTTTTCACCGGAGAGGGAGAGAGATCATGTCAGTGCTGTCGTCCACAGCAAAAATGCCGTAACTCCACTCAAAATGGTTTTATTTTCTCCAACACGTACTGCTCTATTACAAGAAAATGCAATTGCCCCAAGGGTTCATTTTTTCAATTTTTAGTTCCTGATGGTGTGGCGGAGTTGGAATGAAAAAATGAAGGATGAACATTTGTTAGGTTTTCTGTTAAGCAGCATTATGTCAGGAAGAAATTGAAAGAGTATTAGATGGAGATACGGGGTTTTTACTTTGGGCGGTAGAGTGGTGAGGGTAGCTTGAAGGTCGTGTTCATAGGTAGGTACCTAGTTCTTAAAACAGCACCTTTCCACAGGAAGCTCTTTATGGTTTATATTGTAATTAAGCCAAGTTTAGCGAACATTGTGTTAATGGCTCAATGTCTAAAAGATAGTAGCAATTTTAAAATGTTGGTATGTGGAATGTAGCCAAGTGCTAGGAGCAATGTAACGTTTTTTGGGAAACTTACATTTTATTGATAAAATTTGACCAAAGTTTTTCGAAGCAAGCGCTTCATCGCCAGGGTCACGAAGTATTAATTACAAAAGTCTTAACTTAAGGACAGTGGTAACAATTGATAATGATTGACAGATCAAGTTTCAAAATTTCGGTCAAATCTTATCAATAAA